TCTTCGCCCAATTACTATCTAATATATAACAAAAGACCTCTATATAAGCACACCTCTTTATAAGAACATTTTTTTTAAAAAAGTTCCTATGGTCCCAAAAGTGTGATTATAAAGAGGTACGACTGTAGTCTGTAAGTGCAGTACGAACTTTTTGCAACAAATCATTATACAATTACGATAAGCCTATAACAAAGTTAACATAATCCTATCTACATCACTTATCATAGCGAATAAGTACAGTAAATCCATAATATAACCATATCTAAATCACATATGCAACATCAATAGTCTATAAGTACAGATAAATGTATGAGAACCACGAAATAAACACTACAACAGTTCCTCAAACAATCATTAATGAAGAAACTGCAGAATTTGAGATTAAGTTTGTATTTAAGAAATTTGAAGATTTAGAAAATGCAAAACTCTAGAATTCTCTATAATTATAATATGAAATCGAGAATTGCAACAAAATACGCTGCAATTAATATATAACTTACCATTATAATACAATACAATACAGCACACTTATTTCTAACTCTCTTTAAACAACTCAAGCGCCTAATTAATATGTATGCGGTATTCGACAATTTGCCCAATAATAGCGACAGTGTTATCCGGCAATTTATGATCATGATTGGGGGTCGCTCGCTAAGTTTTAATTTGAATACTGGAATAAGCATAATTACATCGTGATACATGAAAAAAATAACAAAAAGAAAATTTTTCATGATCATATGAGTTTGCCGGATAAATAATTTTTTTTTTTTTAATGTAGACATTTCTATATCATTTAGAATTTCGATATTATTTTAGAATTTCAGAATTTCGGCATTATTTTAGAATTTTGACAAGCATAAGACAATTTCGATCAGCAACATTAATTTAGATTACAACTTAAGTGAATGAAGACTATAGTTAAGGTTAGATTACAGCGAGGTAATAATTTGATAAAGTTTTGATCGAGTAATAATAAGTTTGGTACCGCATTAAACTCTACACAACATATCTAATATCTTGAACTGCCAACAATACAATCAATAATAAATATAGAAATAAAGAAATAAAGAAATATAAATAATATGGATAATAAATATAATTGGAAATAACGATTACATGGTTGGAATAAGTAATATTAAAAACAAATACGCGTCACTCTGGGTATACCGATATCTGGATATAACGACATCATAGTAAAATCTTTCTATACCGACATTTTTTTCAAAAATTTTAATATAAAACGTCGGTATAACTCATTATATCGACATTTTTGAATTTTTTTACTAATGTCTCAAAAACGTCGATATAACCAGAGTGACGAGTAAAGATTAATAATATGTATGAGAATTAACAATGGTATGACAAAAGAAAATGAACATCACATAGCAACGGAACAAAAATTCTTAGTTAAATAGAATGCCAAATATAACTACAAGCCACACTCGTTATAGTGAAGTGATCGGGCTGTGAATTTTCTTTACTACAGTATATCGAGAGTCTATTAGTAAATTTTGAGTAAATTCACTATATCGAGAGGGTTTTTATATAAACTATACTTATATCGAAAGTTCATTATAACGACCGTAACTTTTACGTATCATCTCATCTTTAATATTTTATATATGTATTGAGATCTTTAATATATGTTGGATTAAGATCTTCCATTTTTTTTGATATGTTATCCCTATTATTTTCTAGACTTTCTAATCTTTTAATAATTAAATTCTTTAGCTCTTCGGTCTTTATTTTTGTGTCTTCAGCTGGTTTTTCTTCCTTTATTTTTGTACCTTCAGCTAGTTTTTCCTCTTCAACATTTAACTTTATTATTGTACCGTTATCTTCAGCTTTTTTATCCTCAATATTTACTTTTAACTTTAATATTGTACCCTAGTTTTTCTTCTTTATCCTTAATATTTACTTCTAAATCGAATATCTTAGCTATGTGCGTATTTATAATTATTAGACCTTCATCAAACTTATCATCTATATTTATCCATTTTTCATAAAAATCTTGAAGAAAAATAAATGTCATAAATATTTTATTCCTTATGATATTTAAGTCCATGATTATTAATTTTTTTTCGAGTGTTTCTGCATCATTTAGTGTTAATTTCTTATAATCAAGCGAGCTCATCTCGCCTGTATCGATTATTTCTTCATCATTTGGTGTTAATTTCTTATCATCAGGTAAGTTCATCTCTTCTGTATCATTTATTTCTTTACTATATAAATTTATCATTTTTACTATCTGATATGATAGTGATTTATTTATCTCCAGTATTTTGTCGTTTATCATTTCGTAGGTTAAAATTATTTCTGCTAGTTCTTCTTTTTGATTTTCTAGTACTGCTTTTATTTATTTTTAATCTCTGCACCTGATCGATTTGTTATTTTATTTAATTCTTTTATCTGACCTTCTAATTTGTTCTTAATAGTTTCAATTACACTATTTTTAATCGCCCTTGCATGCCAATTCAGAACAAAAGAAATCATTGTTTTAACTTTTTTAGGCTCATTATCACCGAAATGTTCAACTAATCTACTAAGAGATATGCTATAAATTGCTAAAGCTATCTTTGTAGAAGAAGGGTTATTATTAATTAAATATCCTGATATTACAGCTGGAAAAGTTATAAAAGCAATTAAAGTAATATGATTAAAACTGACAATAAGACGGTTGCAATAATTAATAGTTATCAGGCAGGCACTGCCTGATAACTGGTTTATTTGGTTAAAGATTTAAAATTAGACTAAGAAA